TGTACTTATGATAATTATGATTATTATAATATCACTTTTGAAGATTTTAGGAATATTAAGAAATTATTTGACTTTTCGAAGGATTATGATATGCTTAAAGAATATATTAGTAAAGGTAATAGGTTTTGTAATAAGGATTTTTACGATTATGTAATTCCATATATCATAACATATAACTTGTTCAAAAGCCAGTGTAAAAATGGAAACAGGGGGGAAGCGACTTGTAGTGCTTTTTATAATTATTTTAATGATAAGACTGAAGAAGACTTATCTCAATGGACATTCACTTTAGATAAAAGAAATACTAATAATGTAACCCAAAAGGAAGCACACGGAAGAGTATCACAGCCAAATGTACAAGGAATAAACATAGTAGAGGAACATAAAAGCGAAAAGATATTAGGTCATGAAATAAATACAAACCCATACATATATCAAAGCGTATACGAAAGTACAGAAATAAAACATTTAAATGATCAACAATCAGAGGATTTTTATTCGGTACATAGGACACAAGAATTGAGAGCCCATATTGATATGTCAGTTAGTCCTTCAGGTTCAACCTCAAAAAGTTTGGTAATTCCTCCATTAGCCATAGGAATTACAGTTTTTTCTATTATATTGTGCAAAGTACTTGTTAATGTGAATATAAAAGTAATATGTATTACATTATATTAAATATATTTCATTATTTTTTAAGTTCTACGAATAGTTTGCATAAAATATGATCTATATACACTATATTCTCATCAGTTTACTCCAATAGGATATTGGTTAAAAAAAGCCTTAGTAGGAAAATCTAAAACAAAACGTAATATTATAATGGATAGTAATATAGAAGTGGATTATTCGATGTATAAAAATTTAGAATCACCGAGAAGATTTAATTTATCATACAGAAATATATAATTCTTCTCTAAGAGAAACACAAAGCAACATTTTTTTTTACATACATTTGAATCATCATAAGAATTTCTATAAAAAAATAGAAATCTAACAAAAAGCAAAGAATATATATATTTTTTTCGTATAATACACTAATAAATTTTAAATATATATAGGGATCAGTGTTTAGGGTTTAGGTATTAGGGTTCAGGGTTCATGTTTAGATTTAGGATTTTATTTTTTCGTATTTATTATTTTATATATACTTTTAGGATTATATATTTATTTTTATTTATAGGATTTATATTATATATATATTATTTTTTTATTTTCCCTAATTGTTTGAATTATGTTATCCGTTAAATATATCTGGATTACACTTAATAATATATAAATATTTT